GGAAGTAGGTAGATCCTAGATGTTCCATATGAATGTCCCTAAGAGATTTTGAGGAGATGCTGTTGTCACAGCCTGCTACCTTATCAACAGACTCCCCACAAAGATTCTCCAAGATATTTCCCCATTTTAGGTACTAAATCAATCCAAACTTTCAATTGATTACCTAAAGGTGTTTGGTTATGTTTGTTTTGTCTTAGTACTAGGAGAACAAAGGAACAAACTTGAGGCAAAGAGCACAAAGAGAATGTTCATTGGCTATTCTATCAACCAAAAGGGCTACAAATGCTATATTCCTAAGACAAGACGAGTTCTAGTATCCAGGGATGTGAAATTTATTGAGACCAAAGGGTTCTATGAAGAAAGGAATTGGGAAAGCTTGAAGTATCTTCCTCATTCCAACTCAGACCGGGCAACCACTCTTAGAACCTTGCTAGAGACTTTAAGAGATGGAAGCACTCTAGCAAGTCCAGCTCCAGCTACACCTACACAAAATGAAGAGATGAACTCTGAAGCTGAAACCGAAGTTCCAAGTGAGGAAGTGGAAGATGATCAAGTCATCTCACCACACCAAGAGGGATCTGAAACAGAATCGGTTCACAATAAGAGGAATCTGAACCATAATCTGTTCCTGAATAAGAACTGGTTGCTCAAGGTCTTAGAAGAAGCCAAAGGATCAGAAAGCCAAGAGTCTACTATAACAATCAAGCAGTAGCTCATCCAACTCAAGCTGTGTGCTTCCTAGCTCATATTCCACCAGAGCATCAGGTGTTTATTGGAGTACTAGACCAAGAGGCTGTTCCAAGAACATATGATGAGGCAAAAGAGCATAAGGTGTGGCATGATGCTGTGACTGAGGAGAAGCAAGCTATGATCAAAAACCATACTTGGGATGAAGCTGATCTTTCGAGGAAGAAGAAGACAGTGAGTTCTAAGTGGGTGATCACTATTAAGTATAAAAGCAATGAGGATATTGAAAGGTACAAGGCAAGACTGGTGGCTAGAGGCTTTACCCAAACTTATGGAGAAGACTACATGGATACCTTTGCTCCAGTTGCTAAGCTGCATACGGTTCGGGTTGTACTCTCTCTTGCTGCATATTTAGATTGGGAACTTTGGCAAATGGATGTGAAAAATGCATTCCTTCAAGGAGAGTTAGAAAAAGAAGTCTATATGACTCCTCCACCAGGTGTTCAAGTAACTCAAAGCAAAGTTTTGAAAATGAGGAAGGCTATTTATGGCCTGAAACAGTCTCCAAGAGCCTGGTATCGGAAGTTGAGTGTTACTCTCTTAGACCGTGGGTTCAGAAGGTCTGAGATTGATCATACCCTCTTCACTCTTCAGAGCCAAACAGGTATCATTGTCATTCTCATTTACGTGGATGATTTAATCATCTCTGGGAATGACAAGGCTGGAATTCAGGACACCAAAGCTTATTTACATTCAGTCTTTGATATTAAAGACTTTGGGGAACTGAAATACTTCCTTGGGATTGAAGTATGTCGATCCACATAGGGTCTTTTCTTGTCCCAAAGAAAGTATAGTCGTGATCTTGTGTATGAAGCAGGTTTAGAGGAGGCAAAGCCAGCAAGAACACCATTGGAGGACGCATATAAGGCTCACCAATAGGGGGGGGGAATGAAGCTGACCTCTTTAACGATGCCAAGCTATACAGACACATATTTATTAAGCTTATATACCTTACAATAACTCGACCTGACTTGTGCTTTGCTGTGAATCAGGTAAGCCAACATATGCAAGCCCCAAGGATTTCTCATTGGAATATGGTAAACTGCATCCTGAGATATCTCAAAGGAACTTTAGAGCAAGGAATATGGATGTGATGCAACGGGAGCTCTGAGATAGTGGGCTATTGTAATGCTGATTGGACTGGAGATAGAACAGATAGAAGATCAACAACAGGCTATTGCACCTTTCTAGGAGGAAACCTAGTGACTTGGAAGAGCAAGAAGCAAAAGGTTGTGGCCTGTTCAAGTGCAGAAGCTGAATATAGAGCCATGAGGAGACTTACAACTGAACTGATGTGGTTGAAGATGCTTCTCTTGGATCTGGGTATAGAGTCCTTAAAGCCGATCACTATGCACTGTGATAACCAATCCGCAATCCACATTGCCTCAAATCAGGTGTTCCATGAAAGAACTAAGCACATTGAGGTAGACTGCCACAAAGTTAGAGAGCAGATGGAGCTTGGAGTTATTCTACCATGTTACACAAGGAGTTCAGATCAGCAAGCCGATATCTTCACCAAAGCTACAACTCTGAAGACCTTGGAGTACATCAGTGAGAGATTATGAATCATGAACCTCCAATGCTTGTAATCCCCTAAGTGAAGGGTTCACACTCTTTTTCCCTAAGTATGGTTTTGTCCCATTGGATTTTCCATACTTAGGTTTTTAATGAGGTGAGTCTCCTAACTTCCAAGCTAAGTCTCCAGCTTTCTTAAGACTTAGCTTGAGGGGGAGTGTTAAACAAGATGGATCATTCTCACCTCTTCTGATGTGTAACCAATGTGAAACGTTCAGCAAGGACTTTAGAACACTTTAGAACATTTTAGAAGACTTTAGAAGAATTTATAAGACTTTATAAGACTTTATAAGGTTTTACAAGGTATTTAGTAAGTCCATTTAGATAAGCCCAACAGATGTAAAGGGCGGTCCATATGTGTTAGGATTTTCTTTGTCTCCCTATTTAAACGTTTGCAGCCGTTTTCTATAAAACTAAGGAAAGGAGAATCTCTTCTTTTATTTAGTTCTTCATTAATCTCATCATAATATCTCTATATTCTTGGTTAATCCGCTGCTATTCTATAAATCTGACACAGATAGATTTTGAAGACCCTCCAGTTAGGTGGGAGCTTCTCAAAGATGCATGCGACCCGATAGGTCTCACACAGCCTCATCCCCTCAGCATGGATTTCATGGAGAAGAGTTTGTAGCTCTCCCACTTGATCCATTATTGCCCTCTAATCCACACTTTTGTGATCTTGAAATTTTGCCACAGCGTATTTCTGAGATCCAGCATCTTCGACAATACTTCTTGTCTAGAGAATCCCATAATTCTTTAGACGTCTCGACATTGCTATACATGTTGAACAGTGCATCAGCAAGACGACTATGACTGTATCCTTTGCACAGGAAGTCTCTGTGTTCCCATGCTAACTTTCTTGCAAGTGCATAAGCATCATCATTATCTGATGGGAGAATAGGTTTCTCTTACAGGTGTACTTCTCCAGCTTAAGTGTGGCTAGATAGAAGAACATCTTCTTCTACTACATCTTAAAATTGGTCCCATCGAACTTGTCGGGAAAGACTCCTACTGAATTCACAGCTGGCATCTGAACCGATTGATTCTGTCCAATGATCGCAAATTGGACAGTAGCAGAGATCGGAGGCGAGATAACCACAGTCACTGGTGGGAAAGTCCCAAACTGGATCTGCTCAGTCCCAACAGTGGTAGTCTGATCAACTGAGGTGACATTGACAGTTTCGTTTTCAATTTCTGAAAAGAAACATAATTCGCAGATTAGAAATGATTTTAAGAAGTGTATAAATTTTAAATATAATGAGAGGAGAGGTTGTATATATATAGCGGAGGAAGAGATTTGAGTAGTCTGCAAAATCCCACAAAATCTGCGAGTCAAACACGAATCTCGACCATAATTTTAGCAAAATCAAACGCTTAAAATCAGCAAATGTGATAAAGTCACAATCTGTGTCGTTACGTTTTTTGTGGGGATAATGAATATCTAATATTCTTTTGACTGAATCAAAAATGTATGAAAAAAATTTTAGTTAACGAAAAAACGTTGATCAAACGTTCATAAAAATCTGGCCCAAAAAAATACCCGCCTTAGACAAACACAACCCGCGACCGTGCTTAGCCCGGCTTGGCGGCAGCGGCGGCACGTGCAAGGCTTATCCTTTCTCTCTCACACGTTATCTCTCACACGTTATTTGAACATATATGAAACATCTCCTAATATATAGAAGAGCTTTTCATCCTAAAGTATCGATGCGGGACAAATGCTTCCATTTCTTCTTCACCTTCTGGATTTTGACTTACCCCCATTTGGTTTTTTAAAATTCGTTCCAACATAGGACAGTTAAACGCTACAAAGTGTTAGACCCGGTCCAGTTTGATCTACGAGACACGACACCAACACTACATAGATTACATGATCTACAGGACACGACACCAAGACTACATAGACTACAAGGCTTCAACGCCTAGAAGCTAAGATCATACGTTGGAAGCCACAAGATAACTTGCTCCGGGACCAAGGTAGACCACAACGCAGACCTCAACTATCCAACCATGACGGCTCGAGTAGATCTTAACACCAAATTCAGAAAAGTCTTCTATAGAACGGTCACCACCTTTGGCGACCGAAACTCCACTTACCTCGGAGATATCATATTCCAAGATGAGAAGAATTGTGAGGTTGATATCACCGTGAAGCCTAAATGGCTACATTTCAACAAGTTGGGAGAGACCAAGACTTTCACGGTGAACGTCACGGGAAAATCGGAGAGGTATTGGACGTGAAGAAGTCGTTTTTGACATATAACACGTGGCTCACATGGAAGGAGACAAGAACTAATTCAAGCTGCCACTCTTTGTTTGTAACTTTAATTTATCTATAGTTTTATAATTAGATTAGACTTTCGAACCTTATAATAGTGATTATATATCTTTTTTTTTTCCTTTTTTCATTCATAAATGGAGGGGATGTTAACAGTAAATGGAGGGGATGTTAAGTGTTAACAGCGGAAAAACAACGGCCGAGACTAAAACAGTCTAACAAATGTTCAATAAATGCGGTTATAAACGCTCAAAGAATTTACAGAATTTAAATATAGTTTTACTCTTTTGGCCTAACGTTTTTCAGTGTTCGCCACTATTTATGCACATATTCACAATAAAGTTTATTTTATCTAATACACAAATCCTGTAATCTCTTACTCGTAGCCTTTTTTATTAAAATGTTTTCCCGAACATTGTTGGTTTTCTTCGCGTTTTCCATTTCCATCGTCTGCTCGAGTAGAACGTTGGCACCATCTCCAGACAATTCGCTAACGAGGGTACTTTCTTTTTATCGTTCACATTATTGGCTTTTTCGAAAACTAATTATCCTTAAAGCATATATGCACCCATATTCTCTCAATTGAATATGCTACACAGCTGTATTTGGTCCAAGTTGATCCTGCGGTGTATCATGACTGTAAGGAATACCAACAACTTCTCGAAAAGGTGCTTCACGAGAGGTAAATATTGGGTTTCTATAGAATATAACAATAAGCAAAAAAATTCATTTAAAAATACTCTATATATATTTAGCAAATCAATAAACCAAAATAAATAACAAATATTATGAGGGAATATAAGGCATGAGGAATCGAAGAGTATAATAATGAAGGTTGAGCTAGTGTAAAGAATTTAAATAACGGTTGGAAGAAAAATTCAATATTTGTGGTTTTGTCACTCTATATATTTGTCATCAGGTCACCAAAAGGTGCTTTAATATATTGCTACGAATACGTCATGAGCGGATTTGCAGCAGTACTCACCGAAGAAGAGGCTGAAATTTTGAAAGGTATAATTGTTAAACAAAACAAAAACAATTATGGTTGTTTAGTGGTTAAAAGATTTATTATGTCAATTCAGGGATCCTGGTTTGAATTTTTATTACTATTTCAATCATGGTTAATCATAATTTTACAAACCAAAAAAACCCCGGAATTTTGCAAAGTTTTCCAAAAAATGGCTAAGATTTGTTGACTAAAACAACTATCTACTTAATGCAAAATCACGTTCCAGTATTAGTAGACAATTAATTGTTGGAGTACTGATTTTGTTGGTCAAGACTACTATGAATCTCATATTATAGAAAAAGAATCACATCCAATTTTTTCGAAATGAGAGATAAAGATTCTGGTGAAAAAGAAGATTTAAATTTATTTAAAAAAAAAAGAAAGAAATAATGGTTGAGAGCTAATCACCAAAAAATAATGTGGAATTGACAAATTCCCAAATCAAACTATACGATTAACCTTTTTTGCTTAATTATAATTAAATTTGTGCAGGTGAGAAAGGGATTTTTCGTGTTGCCGAAGACACAATATTCCACCTAGATGTGGGTAGTTTCAAGCAACCTAATCACTAAAATCAATGGAAGCAAAAGACTCAATTCCATCGGATACATCCAATGTATCAAAGCTTTTTTCTTCTTGTAATTTCTTCATAAAAACTGCATGACTTATTTGCTTTGTGACATCTTATACTAATAAAAGTTGGCTAAATGCTTCACAGAGTATTCACATAGGTTTAAAATTTCAATTCTATTGGTCCATATCAATATTTAAAATTAAGAAAAATTTTAAATTTTAAAATTGTATTGTTAACAAAAAAATATTTATATAGAAACATAAAAGTTGAAGCAATATGTCTTTAAAAATATCCACATAAGATTCAAAAAGTCAATTTTATTAGTCCACATCAATAACTAAACTTAAGATAGTTTTCAAATTATAAAATTGTATTGTTAATACAACAAAATATAGAAACAAATGTTAATTTAAAATATTCTATTATTAATAATAGTAAAAGCCATATTCTTTTCAAGGCGTACACATCAACATTTTAACATTCAGTTTTATTTGTATATATCAAAATTGAAAATTAAAAAAGTTTCTGAATTCTAATATTATTGTTAAAAAATAAATTAAAAAAATCTCTATTAACAAAAAAAAACTAATATGATATTAAAATCTTCATTATCACCGTTTTAGTTATAAATTTAATTTCTTATCTATAAAAAAATATATGTTACTTTTACAAGTTGAAGTTACTTGATTTTAAGAATTTTCACGTAGAATTTTAAATAACTAATAATTATGATTTACATATATCTAATTTTTTTTGTCACATGTGAAAAACATATTTCTACATAATCTTATGTAATATATTATGCGAAAATGATTAATAAAATTACATGTTGTATATTGGACTTGGAATTTCAATAGATTAATGTAGAAGTTCTTAGTTATGAATTGTTCAATTTGTTATTCATTTTTAAAATTTGTATGTAATTAAACTGTACTGGTTTTTCAAGAAGTGAAAATGAAGTATGATGAAACTGAATATAACCATCAAAAATTCATTAAAAAAATATAATATAATCTTTGAAAAAACAGATATAATAACAAGAATAAAAATAAACATGATGAAAAATATTTTTCATTCTTATTAGAAGAGATGAGGTATAATCATTGAGAAATTATTAAAAAGTTAATACAACTAATTGACAAAGTTATATTTAATTCATATTGTTTGTGTGATTTTATTTATTTCATATTCAATTACTGTTTTGGTTTCAAATTTAAAGTTATTATTAATCTCAAAGCAATATTTGTGTTTATTAGTTGGTTTTAAATTAATAAATCAAAATAAAATTTTGTATTGGTTAAAGAAGAGAAGAAAAAAGATAAAGTTTTAAATTTTATTACTTTTTATTGCCTTTAAAGAACACAAATATAATTGGAATGAAAATGAAAATAATGAAAAAAAAAAATTATCTTCTTGATTTGAAGAAGTGATGTATAATATTTTATCATCATGTCAATACTATGTTTAAAAAGTAGCATTTGATTAATTTGTAACATTGTTAGTTAGTTTTGGTATATTAACTTATAAGTGTTTTGATCTAATAATACATTTTTGAAACAAAATATATAGATTTGAAACAAAATATATAGATTCAAAACAAACTGTTAAAACATCATAATTTACATAAAAATTATTCGATTAACACCATACTATTTTTAATATATTATTAAAACACATATAAAAGTTATAACTTAATAAATATAGGGCTTCTTGCACATATGACCTCAAAATTGAAGTCAAATGCAAATCTAACCTCTATTTTCTCCCTCTTCAACAAATGCCATTTTCTCTCTACTATCTCCTCACAACCACATATATTCACGAAAATCCCATTATGTTTTCAATTTTTATTTTTTCTGAAAGACACCAAAAATACACAACCATCATAAAATATATCACTTATTTACGAAAATGCCATCTTCTTCAATTTTGCCAACCACCATTACCAACTAATTTTGAAGCTCTAAATATTTGCCCAACCAATTTTGAAGCTCTAACTGCTCATTGTGTCGCTTATAACTTCATTTTACCTACAAATTTCTCTCCAATTTCATCTAAAAAACTCTTTCATGCTCATTTTCATAATTTTCAATTTCATAAATCATCTATTTTTGGAGATTCTTAGATAACAACGACTTAGCTAGTTTGCTATCGGTGCTATACAAAAGTCTGGGTGTATGTCAAAGTTAATCGAGTTTAAATTTGAAGTATGTAAACATCTACTTCATTTTCTTTAACATTTAGCTCTGTTTCGCGAAAGCAGACTTCTTTTTCAGTCTGCTAGTCAACGTAAAGGTTAGATTTGCAATTGACTTTTTTTTCATATTTTTGTAAGCAGACTTCAAAAGAAGTCTGCGAATTGTCCTTTGTAAACAAAAAAAATCATGTAGACTTCTTTTGCAGTCTGCGAGAAAAAAGGTAAGTTTTGCATTTGACCAAAAAAATTGTCGATCTTTGACTTTTAGAAGTCTGCTAATTCGTAGTTTTAGTCGAAAGGTTATTTTGCAATTGACCAAGATTTTGACCACTTTTGACTTTTATAGCAGACTTCTTTTGAAGTCTGCTACAAAAAAAATAAATAGCAGACTTCTTTAATTAAGATTCGGTCAAATGCAAATCTGACCTACAAGCAGACTTCTTTAGAAGTCTGCGCATAGCAGACTTCTGCTTCGAAAGTCAATATTTTGGTCAATTGCAAAAAGAACCTCGAGTAGACTTCTTTTGTAAAGTAGACTTCATAAGCAGACTTCTCTACTATAGTAGACTTCTCTACTATAGCAGACTTCTTTTACTCGTTAGCAGACTTCTTTAGAAGTCTGCTCTAAAAGTCAAACTTTTGGTCAATTGCAAAAATAACTTTTTCTTCTCGCAGACTGCAAGAAGAAGTCTACTACGAAAAGTCAAATATTTGGTCAAATGCAAAAATAACCTTTTTTTCTAGAAGACTTCAACTGAAATTTTCCCAGCGGACTTTGAACGGATGTCTGCATTTTTAAAAATTTTTAAAATGCAATTTTATAAAATATTTGTAATGTTTTTTTTAATTTTTTAAAAATTGTAAATGCATTTTAGGTATGATTCTTGCACCTGTATGAGTTTGATGTGTTTATGTGTTATAAATATAAAGTTCTGAATTTTCTTGATTTAAAAGGTAATTAGCACATCTAAGCAGACTTCTGTTGTTATGTATTAGTACATCATAGCAGACTGTATATGAAGTCTGCCTAATTATTTTTCTTAAAAATTCCATTTTGAAATATTTGTTACTTGTAAAAATGATATTCTTGTTTTGACATGTTATTTGTTTTTTGTGTTGCATCTGTATGAGTTTGACGTGGTTATGTGTTATTTTTATAAAGTTATGAATTTTCTTGATTTGAAAGGTAATTAGCACATCTAAGCAGACTTATAAAGAAGTTTGTAGATGAAGTCTGCTGTTACCTATTAGCACCTCATAGCAGACTGCATAAGAAGTCTGCCTAATTATTTTTTTTTTAAATCATTTTTAAATATTTGTTACTTGTAAAAATATTTTTCTTGTTTTGACATGTTTATTTGTTTTGTATGTTGCATATTTATGAGTTTGACGTGGTTATGTGTTATAATTACAAAATAATGAATTTTCTTGTTTAATTTAGCTTTTAGCGGATTTCTGTAGACTTCTAAAGAAGTCTACTTCGTAATATGTGGTAAACGTCAAGTGATTGCTTGCTTATGCTTGTATCATATTTATGCAGGTTGTTTCAAAGATTGTAAAGTTAGGAATTTATGCAGGTTGCTTACTTATGCTTGTATCAGATTTATTCAGGTTGCTTACTTATGCTTGTATCAGATTTATGCAGGTTGTTTCAAAAATTAGGTTATTAACATAAAGTGTTGTCTTGAACTTATAAACATATCTTTATAACAATGTTTTTTTGTAATAGAATTTTTACTCAGAAAATTATGGACTAACGGATGTGTCGTAGTTCATGGATCAATTTTGAGCATGTTTTGTTTGTATAATGAATGTTGTGCATCATAAGCCAAGAAGATTAGTCCCTTTTTTGTCTGATCAATCCCAAATTCATTTCTTGGGCATCCACCAAAAACCTCACTCTTACACTAGAGAATAACATGTAATTTGCAGGATATTATTATTGACGTATTTCACTACTACAACAGTCTGATGTTAAAAGACATACACAGGTAAATCCAAATCCAGCTACAAGATAAAACAAATGATTAACAAGGATCATATATAGACAATAATTTCCATTGGGAGAGCTTTCATTCAAAGAATGTTCAACTGAAGATCAGAATAGCCTACTCGAGCCTTGTGCCTCTCAAACAGATCCTTAAGCCCTTCCACAAACTGGCCATGTAACTTAGCAATCTGAGATGCACAAAAAAACACCACAAAGCTGATAAATCCTACAACTTTTACGAAGCATTCTACACAGTAACGTCTAATAGCAAAGCCGCAATTCCGTCCTGACTCCACTCTAAGAAGTAGCTAAAAAACAATACAGAAGAACATGACTAACCTCTGCATTACTTGGCTGCAGAGTTTTTGAAACTTCTATGGGTTTACCAACCACCACGTCCATAGGTTGTCGATACGGCAAGGGAGATCTACAAAACGAAATGGGAATAGTTTTACCTCTTTCAACATTTTTACAGGCAAAATCAAATGTACCTAAGAGAAACCAACCCACTTACCCAAAAACTCCCCAAAAGCAGATCGGGGTAAACCTGATGGCTCTCGATAATTTCAGGTAGAGTTTCCAGTCTGGCTTCCACCATTTGTACACGTGTGACTGCGGAAGAAACAAAAGACATGATGAATCGATAAAAAAAAACTTGAAAAGCAGAAACGGTACAAGATCTAAATCATGCATCTGACAAACCAAATCAAGTTTTGAGAGTATCAGTTACGTGAAGACAACTACATAGAGCACAACATTTCTGTGAGCAACTCTTTTCTCTACCTGACCAAAGCAGAAAACTGGAACCAGA